AGAGGCGCCCCCGGTTCCACACTATTTAAGCCAACATTTTTGGTCGGGGGGGTATTTGAGCCGCCACATTATGACTCAGCAGCCCCATGGAATTACGGCTCTGCGGCCAACCCGAACCCATCAACCCTAGCCATAGGCACAATTCCAAAGTCCCTCCACAATATTCCTGAAGCCCATCTGAGTGCCCCGCAGCCCGCGGGTTTCCGCGCTGGTGCCGGGGCGGTGGGGCCGGGCCGGTGGGCGACACCTCTTCTTCTTGGAGTGGGAGTGGAGTTGAGCGAACCCACACACCAAACCCAAGCCCCCCCAAAGCCTGAAACCGACAACGCCAAGGCCCCTAAACAAATTTGCCCACCGAAAGCAGAGCACACTGGGCCACCCCGCGTAGGAGTCGGGTGCTTTGTACTTTCTTGCCTCGATGTCCTGACGAGGCCGCGCGTGAGTGTAGGGCTTCATACTTTGGATTTTATAGGGTTTATTATGGGTTCTTGATGTTATGGGTTCTTGCCGGCATATTTTAATTACTTAGGGTAGCATTGGACATCGAGGACTGCTGAGTGCCATGACAGGACTGCACACAACTTGAGAAGCTGCATAAAGCAGCTACGAGCATCAACCACCCTATTAAGCCAATAAGCTTTCCTCCGAGACCCCAAGCACAAACATGCACAAACCTTGAAAGGCCCTAATCCCTAAACCTTCACTGCTACCCCCGCCCTTATAGCCTTATGGCTTATGAAGCCCTTAATCAAAGCTCCTACTCACATCCCCTAAGCTTCGGCACCTCCTCGGGCTTGTAGTGGCCCGAGACGTCAAACTCTTCAGGCTTCGGCGGCTCCATGGGCGCAGGCTTCAGCACCAACTGGGCCAAAGTGGTCCGAACGCCGTCCAGGCGATTTGGGGTTTTTCGGGGTTTTTCGGTTGGCTGTGGGTTTCTTATGACCCGATTACCGGGTCTGGCGGCCTTAAAGAACGAAAGGAAGCTCAGGCTGTGAAGATTCTCTGCAACAGACGACAAAGGGTCACACGCTCGGGGCCCCGACGTACGGAGTGCCCTTCGGAGGCAGCGGCTTCCCCTCCTTGTGGGCCTCGCTACGAAGCAGAGGCGCTGTTCTCACTTTTCGAGCAGGGATTGGGAGAACCCTTCAGCTTTCATCTCCAAGCGCTGTGGTTCGGGAAGTGTGACCAAGGCAGGTGAAACAACGGAACTTTACTTCAGTGGCTTTGCTTGTGACGGACCCCCTCTTTTTTAAAAGCACCTTGATGCGCTCGTAGACCTCCCGCTGCCGCCGTCTAATCTCGATGACACGGGCCTCCTCGTACATCCGAGCCTGAGAGATCGGTCGGAGGAGTCGGAGTTTTGCTGGGCTTCGGGGCCCTTTTCCAAGGCTTTGGCCTCGTAGGCCTCCATGATGGGATCCCGCGGCCCGTAGAGGGAAGCCTTGGGAACACAGGGCACAGGGCTCCCATGGCTCCCGGCTCCCAAGAGAAGCTCAGGCTGCTGTTGCCACGCCGCCCCGAGCTCCCAGCTCGCTCCTGCTCTTTCTGCGACCAAGCCTGGCGCCTTTGCGCCGAGTGCTTCTCCTCCAAACGCCTGCTTGGCCATGGTCTCCAAGCCGCTTCGAACAGACCATCTCAACCCGGCTAGCTTTGGCCCGCTGCGAGCTTCAAAGCATGCCTGGCCTTGCGTCCCATTTGAGCTTCATCTCGTCGGCCTCGCGCGCGTAACGCGCCTGTCGCTCGTCCTCGGTCTCCTGCAAAGCCAAAGTCGTCCATACAACGTCGTCCCTGTCTCTTCCAGTACGGAAGAATAGACCGGGCCCTCTGCCCCAGACCTGGAATCAGAACACCTTTTTGGAGGTGTCTTCAGTCTGTGGCAAGGGTTTGCACTGGGACAAGTTTGACCTCATCACCTGCACAACAAAGCCAAAGTCCCACTAGAAGATGGGTCCTCCTCGATTTCCCACGGAGCAAGGCCGGTCGTAGACTCAGCCTGTCGCAGCATCTTAGCGACACGGACCTTGCTGGTATCTCCTTAGAACCTGGATACCATCTGCTTGGCTGAAATACGGAAAAGTATTCACAACTTTTGCCTCCACCGTGGTAGCTCGGCATGTCCCCCTCGGCCGCCGCTGCGCCCGTGCAGCGGCGCAGGCCTCACAAGCCCACCGTGCAACTGAACGGATGCAACAGGATTGAGCAGCCGTCCTGCTCCAGACTATGTCCTTTTCTTTGCCGACAGCGTCAAGTGCTGCATCTTGCTTATCAACTTCTCTTCTTGCTCTTCGTACTAGTAGTTCAACGAGGCAGATAGTGATCCCAACAACTGAACAAAACAAAACTACCCAAACACCACAAACCCTTCTGCCCGATAAAAACAAACCGCAGGGTGAAATACCCAACCCGAAACCGAGAGTGCGGCCAGTGCCGCAGCCAAGGCCGTGCCCGATCCATGCTCGCCACCGCTGGGCGGGCGGGCGGCCTGCGCCGCATTTCGGACTGAAGCCGAGAGTATACACAGAGACAGCTTTACTTCTACATGATACACATAACATGATGTACATAATTATACACACATAGCGGGTGTGCATGCATCTGTCTGCATTTTATGTGTATGAGCATGTATAGGTATCTGTAACAGGTAGACGCACGACCTGAATTGCCGGACAGCTGTCCGACTTAGAATCCTCAGGTTAACAACAGATGTGGTACATTATCGTAGCTGGTTGTCTGTCTGCAGATATACCTTTGCCCGTATCTGAATACCAGTGTACCTCTGCTTCTGCAGTCAGGTACTGTACGACGCATCCGCGCATGGCTACCCATCTGAGTGCCTCTATGTGCCTCTCTATTCATGCCTCTACCGGATTGATTACATAACATTGCATAGCTCTCGAAAGCAGTTGGGTTGCGAAGTCCCCAAACTCCAAAGCTGCGGCCTCAAGGTACACGGCAAGGGAACAGAGGAAGAGTAACGCTGAATATGTACACTATGCGACCAATGAAAGCATCGCCATCACCGTGATCACCAGACCACCACCAAGGCCAGCAGCACAAATGTGTACGGAGCATAATGCAGACAACGGGTGCTACCAAGTCATGACTCCTGAGCAATACCGACAGCATTAATTGCTTCTTTATAGCAAGGCTATCAGCAGCCAGCCGCTACGTACAGCAAGAGTCTGAACCAAAGTCTTGGAATCGGCGGGGTAAACCGCGGTACCGTCAGGTGCTGACTGCTGAAGCAGTGATTCCATCAGTGCGGGCAATAATTAAAAGACACTGCATTAACTGCAGCACAAAAACTACTAATGCCAACAATTGCGATTACGAAAAGAGCAGGAAAAAAGGCATTGAAGAACTCTGCTTGAAGAAGAACAAGGTGGACACCTGTTGCTGTAGAAACGTGCCAGGTAAGCCCCACCCGCGGGACTACAGCAGAAAAGACAAAGACCTTGATAGAGTGCACGAATACAGCTGTAAAATCGCAGTGCAAGCCTGTCTGGATCCTAGACTCGATGGACGATGTGCTAAGTTGCTTCCAGACCTGAGCCAAAGCACAAGCATGTCTAGGCCACCACTTCAGATGGCCGTCCCTCTCTCAGAAGATAAGTAAGCCACATGCACAGAAGCGTTAACGGCAGCTCCATGCGCTCCCTGCGGCTGAGCTCTGAGCGCTCCGTGAGATGGGTACACCCAGCCGAGCGACGCCTGAGCTCGAAGCATCAACAAAGAAGCCGGTGTTTACGATTTCGGGAGTCACGGCACTCAGGTGTTTATTGCTATGTAATGCTCTGTAACACTCGAAACGCACAAACGTGTTGGCTGGTGCACTAGAAACAATGCAGCCTGAACGTGACAAGCCATCTCCGCTGCCCTCGTTTTTTTAATCTGGCTTCTTAAAACATAGTGAAGTATAGAAATGTGCACGGGCTGGGGATCACGTGATCGTGTCAGGCTTTGGGTTCGAGCAGGGCTCGGTGATGTTGTATGGAGGCAAAGAAGAAACCGCGATTTCAGCGCCGCGTCAAGCACACGAGACCAGTGGATACAAACAAACTGGGTCATCAGCAGTGAGGAGCGTGCCTTGCTTAAACCCCCCAAAGAATCAACAAATCCCAAAGCCCTAAAGTCTCTCAACAAATTCAAAACCGCCAAACATCCCAAACAACGTTGCAAGCCAAAAACAGAAAAGCGGTTTAGGGTTTAGGGTTGAGGGCCCTCGCAGCTCAGCAAGCCAAGCCCCGGGCCATGGCACAGACCCTGCGCCCGCCCAGGGCGCAAGCTGGCACGGAGCCGGCACAGCGGCGCGAGCGCGCACGGGAGATTCAAGTTTAGGGTTTAGGGCTTAGGATTTAGGGTTTAGGATTTAGGGTTTAGGATTTAGGGTTTAGTATTTAGGGGTTTCAGGAAGAAAGACCAAAGCGGCACCCTAGCCGTCCACCTGCCGGTCCAGCCGCTTATCTCCTTATGTACTGGTCTATCTATCTCTATGCCTATCTGGCCTATCTAGAACTACTTTAAATGCATATATGCAAGAATTGTAGGTGCATGCACGCACACAGACACAGTTAAACCCATACAGACTTGACTAGTCATCCGTTCCTGCTGAAATCTACGCATACCACATTCATTCGGTCCTGAATGTTGAAAACGGGGAACTGTGGTGCTTCAAGAAAAGTGACAAGCTTGATAACTCTACATCTACATGGAATTGCCCCAAACCCCTAGCCACAGCTGGTTTGGATCTAGCTGTGTTCATTTCGTACGCAAGCTCATGCGCCCGGCAGAACCCTCTTCAGGGCAGGGACCCCCAAGCCCGCACGCGGTCAGCGGGTATTTTTGAGTGCGGAGAGGTGATTCTGGCACGGCTGGCGAAAACAGAACCGTCCGTCTCAGGCTACGGCCATCGACTCCTGGAACCCCTTGAAGCCCTTACATCACGTTATCGCAAAGGGATCATATCGTTCAGGGTTTGGGGATTCGGGTGCGGTGTAGGGCTTTGGGGGGGAGGTTGGTGGGCTTCAAGCTTGCACTATCATTGTAGGGGTTGGGGTTGCAGAAGAATCCTACTGCTGCTCGTCAAGGCATGCAAGTGTGGACGACTATTGACGCAGCTGGCACGGATCACTAGTAGCCAGAGCCAGAAGAAACATGTTGATAGTCATGGTAGCGAGACGCGGGGCAGGTGAATTAAGAAAATCCGGGGTCTTCTTTAAGGGGTGCTTATGATCAGGCTTCTTCTACTAAGGGTTTTAGATTGGGGTCGCTTTTTTAGGAAACTGTCAGATGGGGGTTTCCGAAAATAGGGGACCCTAGTATAGTACCCTAAATAGTAGGATCCTTATTATAAGGACCCCAAAATAAGGTACCCTCTATTTTCGGAAACTCCCAGATAGCTTCGATGCCAAGCAAGACGGCCGGATCTGTGCCTCTGCACATCGTGACCGCAGTCTGCGCGAGGGGCCCGGGGAGGGAGGCCCTTGTGCACGTCACAACCCTACTATCCAAAATGGTCGATGAGTTTTGAGGTTTTTGGGTTTGGGTTTAGGGTTTAGGGTTTAGGGTTTATGGTTTTGGGGAGGATTTAGTCCTACTATTAGTGTGCACACTGTCATAACTCCGACTCAACACCACCATCCTGCAACTGTCTTGGCGCAGCCCTGAACCGCAAACCCACAACCACGCTTCTTTCGCCTAGAACAAGACAACCTAAAGACCACGACTGGTGCTGGAGATTCCCCTCCGGCCCCCAAGCTACTGCATGGACGTCTCTCGTCTTCGCCAAAGAGCAGGCTGGACCCCGTAGGCGTGGTTTAACGTTCAGGGTCCTATACGTGGGTTTAGGACTGGGTGTTGCAGCAACAAGTCTTGTTGAACACGCTACCTCTTGCGACTATGGCCCTTAATTGCGTAAGCTTTGACCTGAGTAAGGAACCTCGATGGATTTCTTGGCTAAGTGTTTGGAGATGCGGCAGGAATCTGCGGCCCAATCTCAATTTGGGGTTTATGTCAAGGCTTTAAGACCCAATTTAGCGATGATGAAGGTTGGTGATGTATTCATAAAGTTTCTCGTACTTGCGGTCTCACAATATCAGAGTGCTGTCGGAGCGCTGTGCTTCGACGTCACACTGCAGCGTGTGAAACGTTCCTGGGCCAAGCTCTAAACAGAACGGCTACGTACAACGGCAAGGACAGCACACATATCGGCGCACATTGTGGGGTGCGGGAGTGTTTACGTGTCTTGCATTGCGTACTCACTGGTATGTCAACCTGGTCGGCTGTGCCGCCGTTGGCCCCTTCATGAATGAAGGCAAATCCATGAGGGTCATGACCCAACCAAAAGAAAGTCGGGCGCCACCTTTCTGCTTTGCCGGCCACATGCTAGTCTAAGCATTGCCTGTCCGTATTGAGGGCCTGTGGGGTTTTAGGGTCTAGGGTCCTGTCCTACAATCTGCAACCCGTATCAACTGTTCAGGTGCCGTCGAACCCCTAACTGTTCCTCTCACGGAAGACAATGCCTTGGTTGCTTGGGCATTTCTCAGAATCCAGAAGGCCCAGCGGCTGGACTCTATCGTTGCCTGCTCTGGTTAATCAAACGAAAGCACCAGTAGTAGGTTGAGAACATATTATTGGCGGATCTGGGACTACGGGTGACTCCGAACACCCGGTACGACCACCTACCGCGGTCCAGAATCCAGAAGTGTTGCTTCCTGTGCCCGATGATAATATGCCGAAGCGTGGTACATTGTGCCGCTATGCAGCTACCAGCACAGGCGTCCCACCCCTACCACAACTGCTACGGGTGGCGTTGTCACGTCTGCGACCGCTGATATTACTGCTGCTGCTACTCCTACTGCTCCTTCTTTCTGCCCTGCTGGCCTGCTTCTGCTCCTAACCCTGCTACTACGACGACGACTACTACTGCCACCACCGTACTCTTACTCCTACTGCTCCTCTTACTCGTCTTGCTCCTACTCCTACTCCCACTCTTCCTCCTCCTCCTCCCGCTGCTGCTGCTGCTGCTACCGCTTCTGCTGCTACGACTGCTACTACCACCACCACCACCACCACCACCACCACCAATACTACCACCACTACTACTACTACTACTACTACTACTACTACTACTTCTACTGCTGCTGCTACTACTACCACTACTACTACTACTACTACTACTACTACTACTACTACTACTACTACTGCCACTTCTGCTACTACTACTACTACTACTACTACTACTACTACTACTATTACTACACTCCATCACTACGCGACTACGACGACGACGACGACGAATAATTTCGACTGCCACCCCCGACTCCGACCACGGCCACGACTACCACTAGGACTACTACTTTCTACTTCTGCTTGCGCTTCTCATGCTTAGCAGGCTCCTGCTACTACAGCCAACTTCGATTTCCAGTGCGAAGGGTGAATCAAATCTACTTCTGAAGCCACCACAATAAAACATACAGTTCCGGCGCGATTGGCTCTGAGAAATTCCTGTCGCTACTCTGCGGTCGGGCTCTTGGACCACCGCGAGAGTTCGGATGGTGCCCAAAAGTTCACACAGGCACACTCTGATCACTATGATCTAGGAGCGCTCCACTGCGAGGCAAGGCGAGTTTCGGGGCTCGGATGTTCCAGGACTTGACTTTGCATTATTCTGTGCCAGCTCTCAGCGGCCCATGAAACCCCCTCCTCGAAAAGCCTTTGAAGGCGTAGCGCAGAGGCCCAATCCGCATGGCACAAGAAATGAGGGTCGTTGGGCGTCTTGTGGATACAGGTTTTTCAACTGCACCTCACACGATAACATGAGCCCACATCCCATCCAGTCCTCTCACATGCTCTTGCAAAACAATCAAGCCTCAGCCCCTCCGAACCGCCCGCCGGCAACCGAAGCACCTGCAAGCCCTTCAGCACACAAACTTCAAACATGTAGCCCTAAGCGCAGGCCCACTTATTTCCCTTGTAATCGGACATAGCTACGGTTTGTCTTTCTTCTGGCTATCCTTAGTCGTTCGACAAGAAAAGCGTGACTATCAGCGGTCTTCGTAGGTATCAGCGTGACCGTAGATAGTTCGGGTTGACCACTCATACCAACAAAAAACTGCCTTTGTGTTAAACTACCTGGGTATGAATAATAGCAGGAAATGGGACACTTCAGCGCTTCCCGCTGCCCTCGATCAAGAATGTCATTCCATAGTGAAGGACCTCGGTGGGGTCAAGATTGATCTATCAGATGCACCGCTGATGCTGCCGAAAGTGTCACCGTCCATATCAAAACTGGGAAGTCCTGCATCGATGCTTATACAACAGGCCTCGTACTGCAAGAAGAGGCAATGCACTGCGCGTAGCAGCAGTCGCAGTAGCAGTAGCCGCAGCAGCAGCAACAGGAGCAGGAGGAGGAACAGGAGCAGCGGTAGCGGTAGCGGTAGCGGTAGCAGTAGCAGTAGCACCAGCAGCAGCTGTTGCTGTTGGTGTTGCAATCCTTCTCTATCTTGCTGTGATTGTTGTTCTTGTTGTTGTCGTTGTTGTCGTTGTGGTTGTTGCTGTCAACAGATGCAGATAGTGCTGTAGCTGTAGCTGCAGCTGTAGCAACAGCGCATCAGCAAAGTTGCCCTCCAGGATTCAACTGTGTGCCTTGCAGGTGGGACGGAAGGCTGCGGTCACTGTGCAGGCGAGGAGCTTGACCAACAGCAGTGTGGCAAAAGCGACCTGAGCGATGCTTGACCACGAGTGGCAGTCTTGCGGCTTCAGAAGATGCGCTGCTCATACAATTGTTCATTGAAGGCAGGCGGCAACTATTGCGAAGAGAGGTATTTTGGAGATGCAGTCGGCGACTGGTTGACAGAGGCCGACGAACAGGCAAATGATGACCTCAAGCATGGCGCGCTCCTTTTATAGCTAACAGATGATGACTCATGGCTATGTTCTGATCCACGCTTGTGCCCGTGCGAGCCGCTGTTGTTTCCAAATACCCATATGCCACTGTTGTTGACACTAGCCCTACGATTCCTAGTGTTACGGCACATTGACATCTGCTTGCTCATTGTCTCCACATCAGCAACGATAGTGACTCTACTATTGTTGAAAACACTTCTCACAATCGCTGCCTCTCCTATTCATGTCTGCTGTTGCTGCCATGACTAATCGACACCGCGCGATACCCTGGGCAGCGTTGCTAGCATGGATACGGCGACCGCAAGCCTGCTGCTACTGCCGTACTCCGACAACGCCCAGGGTGACAACTGCTCGTACAATGGAACCACCACCGAAACCAAGGCAATCATTACTGCAACTCTCAAGTGACACCACGCCTGCACTGTCATTATTAATTTTTAGTCGTATTACTTAATAGTACCACTGCTGCCACTAACAGTACCACTACCACCACCACTACCACTGACTACTACTGCTGCTGCAGCTGCTGCTGCTACGACTGCGACTACTACCACTACCACTACTCCTGCTCCTGCTCCCACTCCCAGCCCACTCCTGCTCCTACTAACTACGACTCCGACTCCTACTGCCTGCTCCCAGTACTACGACTTATCACGACCAATAGTGAAACACTACTCACTAGGGTTGCGACAACGACGACGACCACAGCGACGACGACTATTCCCGCTGCCACTGGTGCTGAGGAGATCTTCGCACGAGTGCTAATCCCATTTTTCAGCTAACTCACACAGACACACACACACACACACACATCAGAAGGAGCTATCGGAAAGAGAGGGAGCGAGGGGCGGAGAGTGAGAGAGAGAAGGAACATCGCACTATTGACACGAGTCTGAAGTGTGGAAAGGTTAGGCTTGTTGCGGTGCCGGCAACTTCCAGCTTCAGCTTTTGTGCGGCATGACAAGCAAGATTGCTCGCTGAGCGAAACCGAGTGGCGATCAACGAAGCGGCGGTCAACGCGCCGATGGTTAGCTGTGCAAAGTCGAACCTGTAGCCAACACGACCAGTGGGAATGATAAGCCCCATTCTCTGACATTATGTTGCTATCATGACACATGGCCGCACCTCCATTCTCGGACCCCTCTCCCTTCGACGTCATGCTGCGGGTGTAAGGTTCTCTTTCTGACGGCTCTATTGCTGAGCCACGAGGCTTCTACAGATTCAGCAATGGTGGCAGAAGAGATGATAGCAGCAACACTAATCATATTAACAAGCATGAACGTAGGAGTATGTAGCAGTTATAGTGGATTGAGAACGACAATGACAGTCACAACTGAGTCACAACGATAGTACTTGTAAGAAAGATATTGACAAAGACTGCGAGGATACTAACAGTAGAAAAAACGATGACAATGCTAAGAATGGCGATAAAAAACTGATGCTGTACGAGTAAGGGCAGTACGAATACGAGTGCAGTCTTGTTCTGTAGCTGAAAATAACGAGTACAATGAAGAGGGCAGTCGACATTACAGTGATGACAAAGCAAGAATCTGCAAAGATCAAACTGGTAGTGATGGTACGCGATGACGTGATGATGTTTGTGATAGTGACTATGCTTCCAATAATGCCAAAGCTAACTTTAGGAAAAGAGCACACCTCTGCTGCTACGCTGCACTCTACCGCAACTGAATACGGGTGATATGGTCCAGAGAAGCAGGGCAGCTTGAGGTCTTCCTTCAAAGTTGGGCCACAGGAACAACAGCACTCAATCTCCAAACGTTTCGATGAAGCATGCCTCCCACAATGGAAATGCTGCCAACAATGCCCCAACCCCAGACGGGGAGTGGGACTCTGGCCGATATTTTGGTGCAGCAGAGCGGCCCCTTCCCCACCAGCATGGGCACGAAAAGAGTAAGGTCATCCAGAGAGCCAATAAAGGCGATGACGAAGAGAGTCTGTGTTTGTGCAGACTCCTGCTGGCATCGAATATCGCAAGACATGAAGGAACACACTGTTTAGAAACAGGAGTAAAACCGGTGTTGGTTCAGAGGAGCAGTTTCCATGCTCCCCTCGTATCTACATTAGCCAAACTGGTTGACCGTCTAGCGTTTAGCTCATGTAAGAGTTCTGGGGTTCAAGCATTTGCAGACTTGGGTCTGCGCGGGGGTCTAGGGTTAGGCTTTGAGCACCGCCGCACCTTGTCGTCCAAGCTCTTCCTGTCATGCTCCTGACTTGTGCCACGCATCTTCCGGCAAACGTATCGCGAATACGTGTAAGTACTCCAGAGGCATTTATCCACGTATCTCGTCGCTCAATTGTTCTCTCTGACCGAACGACATGGAAGTTATATGTATGATATACGCAGAAGTACACTCGCGCACACATAAACACTTGCTAACTGTATACTTCTCTGTGTGATTATACCTGTACGCATATGCGTGTGTGTGAGCTTTGCAAACACTGGATGCTCTAAAAAGCTCCGACGGGGCTCCGATGCTGCGTTCGCAGACTCGATCGGGCGATTCCTCGCTGACATGAGCTGCCTGGAGCCGCTGGACGAAAGAGCTATCATAATGATTCATAATGTTTACCCTGATATCGGTTATATGTATATATATATATATATATATTTATTTATTTATTTATTCATTTATCTCTCTCTCATATACTGTATATACGAGCATCATGCTTTTACTCTGTGCCAGCTGCGTCTTTTGTCGTAAATATGTTTTTGTTGCTGGCTGCGTCGATTCTTCCCGCTCTGGCCTTTGCCATTGCTACAAGGACTGTCCGTCTTCTCGTTGCCAATGTTCTGCGGTTCTACTTTCTAGAATGCCCACCGTTCCTGGAAATGCACGCTGACACGGCCATCGCAATGCCTGCCCTTGTGATTCTGCTTGTGACTGCAGCCATGAAGGGTCTTCAAACTAGCGGATGGCGGTGCTGGGACCCGTCAAAACCTAGACCTGAAGCGTCGGAGTGTGCGCCTGGACTCGTTGCGACCGGGCGTGAGCTCCCCGCCACCCTCCAGGTCCGAAGGGCTGACTTTCGCGTACTTGTTCCTGAAGCTCTGGGCTGGACGTACAAATAGTGCGTGGTAGTCTTTAGGGCTTGGTGATCTCTTGGGAGCATTCTCAAACTAAAAACCCAAGCCGCAAGGAAGCTGTTGGTTTGGGCCGAGGGTCTCTTGCCCAGCATCTTCCTTGGTATCCTGAGGGTCTTCTTCTGCCTCTGTCACCCACTCATGGAGCAACTTGACAGAGTACAGAGCCAGCATGGAGCCAGCCAGCACAGTCAAGATCTTCTCGGAAGACCAAGCATCTTTGGAATTCCGGGTCACCATCTCCTCAGGACGTCGAAGCCCCGTCCGGGCGGTGGAACAAACCCACCAAAACAAACCCTAAACCCCGGCCCGTAAACCCGGGAAGGCAAACTCCACAGCACACTGGGCGAGAATCCACAAGCTTGTTGCCCGAGTAGGCGATGCACATGGCAATGGCGGTCTGAACCTGAGTTCATCTTGTGGCGCGGTGTGGTTCGGTTCGGCTCGGTGCCCTGATTAACAACACAGATGCGGCTTCTGCCTTCTGCGCTGGACAAAAGAAACGAATCCGGCTTCATCGAACAAACAGCACCCACCAACGCCACCCCTGCAATCACCATCACTACGATGAGCATCTCTGCACTGGTTTTGCAAAGGTCGATGTGTACCGAAACAATACAGTCTCGGCGACCGGCTGCCTAAGACGGAAGCCGCACTACTTCTTTGGAAACAAGACCGATCAGGGACAAGTGGCCCAACAAACGATGCCATAGATGCTGATGTTCTTTAGCCGGGAGAAGTAGCTGACGTTGTTGGTCAAGAATGGGGCCAGCCACACGACGTCATCCTGGATTTGCGAGGCGTGAGACTCACCGCAATGGCAATACTCATTGGTTTTGCTGATGGCAGTTACACTAGTAGCCGTGCTTAATTGTACAAAGCAAGTACAACAATCCACGCATCGGGTACATGAGCAGAAAAAGCAATGATCATGCAATGAAAATTAATGGCACTCGTGATCTCGCAAGGGCAAACGTAGCCGAAGTCGAAAAACACTGTAATCAATTCAATCTCTCAGGTGCAATTGATGAGGAGATCTTTATGGAAATGGCCGCGCCCACTCCAGCAATCCAGTGAAGCAACGTCGCCGGCATGGCGGCACAACGGGGTCAAAGGGCACACAAGGCACCTAAACTTACTGCCGATTGACTTTGTCGCAGTCTGTTGCTTCAATCCAGCAAGGCCTCTGCAAAGCCAGAGCTCATAGGACTCCGCCTATTACGTTCTAAGCCTCGGGTCTCGGAGAGCTGTGAGCGACCCCCGGGGTGGAAGATCGCTGCTTTGAGTTGAACTCAGGAGCATGTCTGGTGAGAACACGATGACAAGCATTCAAGACAGAGTCTGCAAGCCACAGCTGCGGAACAAGTCGAAAATTCAAGGCAGAGGAAGAGCGACGTTGTTCACGAGGCTGCCAAGCACTTTCCGTCGTACTCACTTCGAGTTTTGTGGTTTGAAGCTTGTGGTCTTACTGGGAATCAGGCTTAAGCGTTCACTCGCCATATCCCAAGCACTATCGCGCATCTGACGTTCTTGGATAACGTCACCAAAACTCGTGCCTGACAAAGCCCACGCAAGCTTCTGGATTAATTGGCTAGGGCTCAGGGCTCACAGAGTCCTTAGGGTAGGCGCAGAATAACGCGCGGATGTGTTGCTGGAGGCGCTTGCCTGCACAGGTAAGTGGCCGCAGCTCCGCATCTGCGAAACGCTTGCCTGCGCAGGTGAGCGTTTCCCTGGCCTGAACTTGGCTTTCCGCCTTCGGGCTTAGGGTTTAGAACAACGGGTTTAACTTTAAAATTTGAAACCCGACAGCCTTAACCTTAAAACTAAGCCCTACAGGAACCTTAAAACTTCCTTCCACAACTTAAACCCTACACCCCCAAAACCCCGAACCACCTTTGTTATCAAACCTAAACCCTAAACCTTTATTACAAGCTAAACCATAAACCCTGAACTTTCATTTGAAAACCAAGCGCTAAACCTTCATTCTAAAACATAAGCCCAAGCCCCCTAAACCTTCCAATACTAAAAGCTGGGAACTGGTTCAGAACTTTGCAACTGCTTCAAAACCATTCGGAACCGGTGCTGTTGCCCAAAAATTCCGGATGGGGAAACAGCCAACTGACACCGCTGGGGATTGAGCCTGGGACCTTTCGCGAAATGACTTGGGGGGCATGTTTGACCAATCCGCTGTGGCAGTGCCCAAAAGGCAGGCTCACGGCAAGATCTGGAGGTGCTGAGTCCATCCCTGGAGGGTCAGACCCTTTGAAGCTCCCCATTCTGCTGAAGTCTCCAACCTCCTCTTCAAACTCTTCCACCTGGATTGAACGGTCTGAGTTAGTTGAGTTGTCAAAGAGCTGGAATCAATTCTTCGGACTCTGTTTTTCGAAGAGTTTCGCTAAACAGTGTTGAACACTTAAGGTTGTCCAAGTTGTCGGATGGTGGTCTTGGAAGCCGATTTGCACAAAAATTGCAAAAGGGACATTGCCACTGACATGACTGGAAATTAACCTCTTCGATGGCATCGAGTTGGACGTGTCCTGGCAAGCAATAGCACACATCAAATGATGTCAATGCGGCTGCCACTTCACCTTCTTCTTGCGAAGAGGTCGACTGTTCTTGAACGCGAAAAATCCAGAAGTTTCCCTGTTTCAGAATTCTTGCTTTGCTGGAGAACGAGAACTTGAAGGGCAGGCGGAAGACGGGAGTCGAGGCTTGAAGGGACTTCAATCGAAACAATTCCCCACACCCGAAGCTCAGTGCGAGCGTCCGACACTTACAACAACGATTGCTGGGTTGTACAGTGCCGGATTATCTTGCTTC